CTTATGGCACATGAGCCCGCATATAAGCTAGGCTAGGCCAGCCGCGCCGAGCTAAGCAGATACTCTGGAAGTCCTGGAGCGTCTCCAGAGCCAACAGCACGGGATACGTCGACCCCTGTTACACACTTTATAGACACACACATATATATACACACACACGACGTGGGGCGTCCATCGTAGACAGGGGCGCGTCCGAGTAGCCCACGGATGTGTATGTCCGGGACCCCCCCCTTTTGTTTGTGAGCGGCCTCACTTGTCGGGCGGAACTCGAGGAGTGGGGTCGATCAATCACCTGCTGCCTGGTCCTCAAATGACATCTCCGCGGGCTCCTGGCGCGCCCAAGGCGTCTTCTGGCCAGTAGCATGATGGGCAGAAGGCCGCTGGACATGCTTGAACGCATCCTGAGCCCATCACATCATGACACTATCTTTGTCCTGAGGCCCCGACAAAGGCCTCCTTGTCCTCCTCCTCCTCCTCCCTCCCCTCCATCTCCTTCCTCTTCGTTCAACACGTGCTCCGCAAGACTTCGGCCCAACATTCGGCCACATAGGCGCTTACAAAAGGGCAGGGGCGGCTGTGATTCGCCGTAAAGTCATTGATGCTCCAGAATTCCTGGAACGCCTCACTCTCGACCTTCAACTCATCCTGCCCAAAGTGTTACCTGCAGGGTTCCCATATCGGCCAGGGGAACACTCATTCCACTAGCTTGGCCAGACTCCGGCCCAACGTTCGGCCACACGGGCGCTTCCCAAGAAGGCGGGGGGGCGGCGATGATTCGCCGTCAGCTTCTTCGATCCTCTGGGAAGCCTGGACCGTATTCCGAGCGGATCCTACCGTGGCTCGTGGGCAAAACACATATCCGTATCCGCGGCCTCGCGGGCTGGGCCCCTTGGGCCGCGACCCCGCGGATACGGAGCGCTCCTTCACTGATCCGTGCGACCGCGTATCCGCGGGACCCGGCCCCGAAATCCAGATCGTGAGGCCGCGGATGGGGAAATGTTCGCCGCTCGCGAAAGACTTCGGCCCAGCGTTCGGCCAGGCTCCAGTCCAAGGTTCGGCCACAGGGACGTTTCCCAATGGCAGGGGCCAGCGGTGAGTTGCCGCAGGCGTCTTCGATACTCTAGAAATCCTGGGGCGCACAATGACATGATCCGATCATGTCATCCCACCATGACAACATCCTATCGTGGCTTCTGGGAAAACCAAAAATACACCGATACCGCTACTCCCCGGACCTCTCCCCGGGCGCGTTCTGACCGGGACTTCGGGGCGAATCCAGCGGTGGCGACGGGGGCCTCCCGGGAGGCCCAAGAAGGCGAAATCGGGGCCGAGGCAGCGGCATCGGCACCCTCTCCTCCCCTGACTCATCTGCGCGTGCCTGACAATCAAGACTCGGCTGTGGACAAACCTCCCTTTAGTAAACCTCCCCGTAATAAAAACGGCCCGGGAGCGAAACCGACGGACCTGGACCCGCAAAATGACGGCCGCGACGCCCTCTCGCGAACCGAAAACAGCCCATTCCTTAATCGACGTGTCAGGGTAGGAGGTCTGTCCAGCCCCGACTGACGATCAAGACGGCACCCTCGCCCGAGCGAGGGGTCCCCTCGCGAGCCCCCCTCTTTCTCGGGCCCGCGGCGCGCCCGTCCAGGCGCGCGGAGGGGCGGCGCTCCCCCGCGCCGCCGGCCGCGGCCCCCGCCGGGAGGGCGGAGAGGGGGAGGCACGAGGGGGGGGGGAGGGGGGGGGGGCGGAGCGAGGCCTCCAGGCTCCTCAGGGCGTCGGGGAGGAGGATCGAGACAAGTGTGCAGGAGGGGAGGAGGGTCGAGGCCTCCAGGATCCTCCGGGCGTCGAGGAGGAAGGCGAAAATCGTGCAGGAGGGGAGGAGGGCCCAGGCCTCCAGGATCCTCCGGGCGCCGAGGAGGATCGCGGTTGCACTGTAGAGGGAGAGGCGATGGCATGCACATACGCTCTCGGGAGACCCCGCGCGAATTTCTTGGATCGGCGCTGGATCGAGGTCTCCAGGATCCTGCAGGCGTCGAGGAGGGAGGAGGAGGAGGAGGAGGAGGAGGAGGAGGAGGAGGAAGAGGAGGAGGATCGAGGTCACTGTAGAGAGAGAAGAGGTGGCATGTGCAAGTTCGGGGCTCCACGCGGATTTCGTGGATCGTCGCTGGATCGAGGCCTCCTGGATACTCCAGGTGTCGAGGAGACCAGAGCAGAGCAGCACCAGTGGTCCGGCGGCGCACCCCAGGCTTACAAAGGAAGGCGGACAGAGGGCCCAAAATGGAAGAGGGCGGCCAGGCGTTCGTGAACTACTCGAGGGGCACGATACTTAGTGTGGGGCGGGCGTCGAGGAGGATCGAGGCTATTTTAAGGGGGGGAAATGGCGTACACCTACACGTTCGAGGCACCGCGCGGATTTCTTGGATCGGCGCTGAAGCCCCCTCCCTGGCGCGTGGAGCGCGCCAGGGGCGGCGCCCAAGGCGCAGCAGAATGGGTCGAGCGCGGATCAAAGAAATCCGTGCGGAGCTCCGACAGTTTGTGTATGAATGTGTTTTTCTTCGGTAGTGTGTATGGCTATGGTTATGGTTGTGATCTTCCTCCTCCTCCTGCTTCCTCCACTTCGCATGCTGCAAGCTCAGCTGATCGATGCCCCTTGCGGGCACCTCGTCGCTTTCCAAAACTGTTCGCGTCACCTGCGTGCAGTTCAATGTGTTGGCCACAGCACCTGCATCGGTTCCAACTCACCTTGATGTTCGTCTACCACCCGACGGCAACAACTGTTCAGATTATGTCCGCTGGGGGACGGAGGAGGATCGAGAAGAGGAGAAGGATCGGGAAGGCCGTCGGAGATCTGGATGATTAGGGTTCGAAGCCCCTCATTGTCCTCTGGGCCCCACCCCTCGGAACCCCACCTCTGGACCGCCGACCATCCCAAGAGGTCTGTTTCTGCAATTCGTCTTCTTCGTCGATTGAGGCCCCTCGTCCGAAATTGGCATCCGCAATCGTGATTGTCTATCCTCCCTCCCTCGATCCCCGACCCCCTCGATCCCGTTGATCCACTCTGCGAGCACGATCTGTATCCATATCGACTGCGTCTTGGAGTTTGGGGCTCCCTTCCCCAGAAACCCGAGGCGCAGTGGATCTGGCTAGAAATGCTGTTTCCAGAGGTTTTAGCATCATGTATAGCTTCTGCACCTAGGGTCTTTTGGCACCCCTTGCCAGGAACTCCAAGACGCAGTGGATATGTATGTGGAAGTACCACTGTATGAACATGTGGGTACATGAGTACACATATATATATATATATACACACACAAATAGAGATATGCGGATTCATACACATGTATGCATCTCTGTATGTGTGTATCAATATATGTGTATGCATCGTGCGCCGACCGCTCGATACCCTGGATATCCTCGATTCATTAGCAATGAAGTGTCCGCTAACCCTGTGGGAGCGGGCCCAAGTCAGGAGGCCTCAAACATTAGGGATGGGGTCTGTTCAGCAAATGTGCCAAACCAAACCAATGACCAAGTATCCCTAGTGCAATGACGGGGGCTAATTGAGTTAGGCTACGTCTTCATCGTTTTGTTCGGACTAGGGCTCATGTTATCATCGATCCTCGACGACCTCAATCCTCTAAGTGTTAGTCGCTCATTCTGGGGACCTTCCTGGGGCCACTCGCTCCAGTCGCGCGTCGACACTGCGCCGTACGTCCGCCGACCCGATTCGAACTCGAGACAAACCTGAGTCGACCACGAGCCGAAACTTGTGCCGGACTCGAACCGACATGGAGTCGAACCGGAGTCGGATCAGAGTCAAACGGATCCTTTTATGGTCCCCATCGGACTCTGCATCGCGCCACAGCGCTGGTGCGTCGGCGATGCGCCGCAACCATCCGACCCTATCTACTCCGACCCCGTCTAGGAGGCCCAGAACTTGGTCCCCAGGAAATAAGGGAACAAAAAACAGCATAGACATACTTTCCGAGGTCCGCGCGGACTTCTTTGAAGGGGCCCTGGGACACACAAATAAATAGACACAAATAACAGGATTCCCCGTATTTCTTTATATTTTCTGGGCTTTTGTCTTCACCCCCCACTTCCCATATTTTCCAAATGTTCTCAGGAATCGACGATGAATTTAGTCTGTGCGATTTTTTCTCCCTCCTGATTGATCTGCGCTGGATCCGCACGCCAGGGGCGGGCGTCTGGCGCAGCTCCAGGAAGCCCGCGCAGAGCGCCGTTAGCTCATGCTCATGCCGTCTGCTTTCCCTTCGAGGAGCCTGGTGGTCCCCAGGAAGGCCCCCTTTGGACGCCCGAAATGGGTACGGAAAAAATTAGTACACTGCCCAACAACAACAAATGTTGTCCCAAACCAACAGCGGCCGCTGTTGGGCAGGCGGCTCTTTGTCTTCAAAGAAAGAACAACGTCCGCGGCGGCGCGAACAGCGAGTCCTGTTCAAAATGAACAGGACCTGCTGTTGGGCATTGTAGCCATTCTTTGCGTACCCATTTCGTTGGTGCAGACCCAAGCGAGCACCTGACGAGTGGCCCCACCCCTCGGATCGGGGCCCACCAAAGGGGGGGGACCATGACGGGGGGGGGAGTTCGATCCACTGGTGCATCGGATTTCCGAAAAACGATGCCCCCCGCGCGCCCCGACTGCCGACGCCTCTCGGGTTCCAGCGGCGGCCGGAGACCTAGTTTTGCATAGGTTTTCTGCGGTGCGATGCGCCAACGGAGCGAACTCACCTCGGGGATGGACAGACCTCCCTTTAGTAAAACGTGGTTTAGTGAAAACGACCTCCGGCCCAAACCTGGCGGGCGCAAACCTGGAAAATAACGGCCGCGGCGCCCTCTCGAGATCCGAAAACGGACAATTCACTAATCGACGTGTCACTGTTGGGGGTTCTGTCCACCCCCGATCACCCCCATCCCGTGGCACCCCGCCCCCTCTGCGAGGTCCCGACCTCGGCGCCCCGTCTCGGAGCCGCCGGCCCTCAGCGCCTCGCCTTCGCCTTGGCCCGGCCCTTCGCCTTCGGCGCCGCCGCTCCGGCGGCCTCTCGCGGGGGCAGGGTGGCCAAAGCGCCGCGCCGCACCTCCAGCGCACTGGGGAAAACATGGGGCGCTGGGAGGCTCCGCGCGGGAGTTCGAGACGAAGCCAGTCCGAGGACAAATTCGGACGAGGATTCATCGAGAAGTTCCCTGATCCGGCGGTTCTGGAGGATGTCTCGGACGCCGCGGCCTTCTGAGAGCGTTCCAGAACGATCTGGAACGGGTTTATCCTCGTCCTGGCCCCGCCCGAGGGGTTACTGACGGGAAACAGAGGTTCAAAGCGGATGCCGAGGTTTTGGTGTCCATTCGATGGGACCCCACGTGGCCACCGGCCGGCGCTGTCCGCTTTGGGCCTGATTTGGACCAGATTTGGAGCACACTTGGGACCAGGCTTGGACCAGAGATGCCCCTTCACAAGGGAGACGAGAAGAACTAGGACGGAGAGGGGGAACAGGTACAGCGAGGATCAGCAGGCGGAAAACCAAATGCGGTCCGAGTGCGGCACAGCTCCAGGAAAGCTCCACGAAAGCGTCGATGTCGCCGCTCACAGCTCACATGAAAGAACATCCAACAAGGTGGACTGTATCTGGCCACGCCTGGCTCCTCAGCGGGCTACGAACACCACGAAGGGTTTAAAGGGGGGCAGCGGTCCGGACAAAGTGGGCTCCGACCACTTAGCGGAATTATGGACGCCTCCTAAGCTGCTTTGGGCCCCGGCAGCCCACCTATGGGCTAAGATCGGCCAGATATACACGTTGGTATACACTTTCAACACACGTCAAGAAACAACTCAGGACGAAGAACTGGTCTTGGCGAAAACCTCGGGGCCAAGGACACGCCTCCGTGAGTATCGTTTTCCCTCATGGCGGTCCGTTGCCGCCGCCAGCGCCAGCGCAGGCGCCAGCGTTTGAGGGAAAAGCATCGATGACCATGAGCAAGCCTGAACGCGGAGACTTCGGTATCCATCTTTATCACCGTCCCTCCTCGGAGGCGCGCAAACATGGATTAACGATCCATGGATCTGGCGCGCGGTCGCCAAGTCCATGGATCGGGGGAGATGCCCTCCCCAAAATGCGGCCGGTGCCGCTTCGTTCGGCGGCGGAAATGTGCGATCTCCCATGGTAACGGGACCCGTCGCTAATCCACGCCCCCTTGATCCATGTTTGCGGTCGCCTTCCGTCCTGGTCATCTTCGGTTCGAGGAACTGCCCCGCAGCTCGGCGCGAAGGACGGCCTGGACCACGACAAGGCTTAGCATCAGCAAGCTCCCGCGACAGCTTGGTCATACGCGTCTTCCTCCTCCTCCTCCTCATCCTCCACCTCCCTCCCCCTCCAACTCATGGTGGTGGTGGAAAACAAGCTTATCACCCCTAACATCCTCGCGCTGCGACGCAATCTCACGACGGAATGGTTCGTTTGCGCATTTTCGGACTCCGAGGGCCGCCATTGGGCGCCGGACCCATTCACAACACGACTCGGGATGACAAACGGGTCGGACGCGTTCCAGACCTGTGCTGCTGAGCCACGCTGTACCGACAACAACAACAGCAACAACAACAACAACAACAACAGCAACAGCAACAGCAACAGCAACAGCAACAGCAACAGCAACAGCAACAGCAACAGCAACAGCAGCAGCAGCAGCAGCAACAACAACAACAACAACAATTACTAGCACGTGGGGACACTCCGTTCTCACCAGTGCCAGGGTTTTCATACGACGCCCGCCAATACCCCCACTTTGTGGGGGGGCCGGTTCAAGCTCTACCACATTTCCAAACGACTCTTCGCCACCACCCACACCCAGCTTCCCGCCCTATGACGTTCGGACACTTCACTTCGTGGCCTGCGGACGACCGTGGCTACTACACTGGCGCATGGGTACAGTGACTTGTTGTGGTAACATTTTCTGGACGCTAGCTTAGTATACGACTTTTCCCCCTGTTCCAACACTGGACACCTGTACTGGTTTTTGGTGGTCGTTTTTGTACTGGTTTTTGGTTTTTGGTGTACGCATGGTATTATTTGACAGGGATGATGGCCCTGGCAGGTGCGCAACCGTTGTTGGAGAAGTTCGAAGCACGTGAAAAGTAATAATAATTATTCTTTAGAAGTAATAATGTTCAACAACAACAACAACAATTACTAGCACGTGGGGACACTCCGTTCTCACCAGTGCCAGGGTTTTCATAGGAGGCGGGCAATACCCCCACTTTGTGGGGGGGCCGGTTCAAGCTCTACCAAATTTCCAAACGACTCTTCGCCACCACCCACACCCAGCTTCCCGCCCTATGACGTTCGGACACTTCACTTCGTGGCATGCGGACGACCGTGGCTACTATTCAGGGCCCCGCGGCCGACGACGACGGCGTGCGCGCGCGAAGAAAAAACGAATGTGTCCCGCATGGTATTATTTGACAGGGATGATGGCCCTGGCAGGTGCGCAACCGTTGTTGCAGAAGTTCGAAAAAGTTGCTCGCAAAAGCCCGTTTGACAGAAATGTTTAAAAAGTGTTGGGTTTCCTACGAATCCGCAAGAGCGCGCGGGATGAAATTTTGACATTTTTTTTTTGAAAAACCATTGGTTTTTTGATGTTTTTATGTTAAAATCGCTACGAAAACTAAGGTTTTGGAAGGATTTCGTCTTGCGCGCGCGAATGTCCACTTTACCTTATTTTTTGCAAGGGATTCTTGAAGTTTGGTTATGTTAGAACAAGAAATGTCCACTTTGCTTATTTCTTGCAAGGGAAAACCGCGTAACAAAACAACCGGATCCGGACCAACCCGTTTTGCCTGAGACTTCCTCACGAAAATGATGAAAATGGCTGCGGCCTAGGCGCGGCGAGGGGGCCGTGCACCAGGGGCCCCAACAATAATTATTCTTTAGAAGTAATAATGTTCAACAACAACAACAACAATTACTAGCACGTGGGGACACTCCGTTCTCACCAGTGCCAGGGTTTTCATAGGAGGCGGGCAATACCCCCACTTTGTGGGGGGGCCGGTTCAAGCTCTACCAAATTTCCAAACGACTCTTCGCCACCACCCACACCCAGCTTCCCGCCCTATGACGTTCGGACACTTCACTTCGTGGCATGCGGACGACCGTGGCTACTATTCAGGGCCCCGCGGCCGACGACGACGGCGTGCGCGCGCGAAGAAAAAACGAATGTGTCCCGCATGGTATTATTTGACAGGGATGATGGCCCTGGCAGGTGCGCAACCGTTGTTGCAGAAGTTCGAAAAGTTGCTCGCAAAAGCCCGTTTGACAGAAATGTTTAAAAAATGTTGGGTTTCCTACGAATCCGCAAGAGCGCGCGGGATGAAAGTTTGGCATTTTTTTTTTTTAAAAAAAAAAAAAAACATTAGTTTTTTGATGTTTTTATGTTAAAATCGCTACGACAACTAAGGTTTTGGAAGGATTTCGTCTTGCGCGCGCGAATGCCCACTTTACCTTATTTTTTGCAAGGGATTCTTGAAGTTTGGTTATGTTAGAACAAGAAATGTCCACTTTAGCTTATTTTTTGCAAGGGAAAACCGATCGTAACAACACAACCGGATCCGGACTCCCCCGTTTTGCCTGAGACTTCCTCACGAAAATGATGAAAATGAGGCTGCGGCCTAGGCGCGGCGGGGGGTCGTGCACCAGGGGCCCAACAATAATTATTCTTAAGAAGAAATAATGTTCAACAACAACAACAACAATTACTAGCACGTGGGGACACTCCGTTCTCACCAGTGCCAGGGTTTTCATAGGAGGCGGGCAATACCCCCACTTTGTGGGGGGGCCGGTTCAAGCTCTACCAAATTTCCAAACGACTCTTCGCCACCACCCACACCCAGCTTCCCGCCCTATGACGTTCGGACACTTCACTTCGTGGCATGCGGACGACCGTGGCTACTATTCAGGGCCCCGCGGCCGACGACGACGGCGTGCGCGCGCGAAGAAAAAACGAATGTGTCCCGCATGGTATTATTTGACAGGGATGATGGCCCTGGCAGGTGCGCAACCGTTGTTGCAGAAGTTCGAAAAAGTTGCTCGCAAAAGCCCGTTTGACAGAAATGATTAAAAAGTGTTGGGTTTCCTACGAATCCGCAAGAGCGCGCGGGATGAAATTTTGACATTTTTTGTTTTGAAGAGACATTGTTTTTTGATGTTTTTATGTTAAAATCGCTACGAAAACTAAGGTTTTGGAAGGATTTCGTCTTGCGCGCGCGAATGTCCAATTTACCTTATTTTTTGCAAGGGATTCTTGAAGTTTGGTTATGTTAGTACAAGAAATGTCTACTTTAGCTTATTTGTTGCAAGGGAAAACCGATCGTAACAACACAACCGGATCTGATTGACATCGTTTTACCTGAGACTTCCTCACGAAAATGATGAAAATGTGGCTGCGGCCTAGGCGCGGCGGGGGGGCCATGCACCAGGGGTCCCAACAATAATTATTCTTTAGAAGTAATAATGTTCAACAGCAACAGCAACAGCAACAGCGACAGCGACAGCAACAGCAACAGCAACAGCAACAGCAACGACGTCGGATGTCAGGGCCTGTCCAGTGGAAGTCAGTCGGCGGCGCGCCCAGGGGGGAAGAGCGCGTTTCTTTATTTTTGGCGATAATGGGCACTATAGGGGTGTGTGTGTGGGGGGAGCCCAGGAGGGGGGGGGGGTATAATGTAACGCCTTCCCCCCGCCGTGCGCACGGCGGCAGTGCCCGGAGCGCACTGGGGGGGGGGGGAGGGGCGTTACGCTATAGGGGGGGAGAGGGGTGCAGGGGGGCCATAATGCCCAGTATGCCCCAAGCAAGAAGCACGCGCCAACGACAACGACGTCGGGTGTCAGGGCCTGTCCAGTGGAAGTCAGCCGGCGGCGCCCCCAGGGCGGGAGGGAAGGGGTGGAGCGGGCCTTCCCACGGGGCTCAGAGGGCCTCTGACCCTGGGCTGCTCTCGGAGGCCGTCCCGCAGCTGCAGGGAGGCCTCTCACGAGGCCGGAGAGCTTCGAGAGGCCACGCCGCCTTCTGAGACGGCCTGCCTCCAGGGGCCGGCCCAAGGACACACAAAACAAGTCACACAAATACCAACGTTCCCCATAAATAATTGTTCTCATATTTCCTGGATTTTCGTCTTCCCCCCCACTTCCCATAGTTTCTCATATCTTCTGGGGGATCGACGATGAATTGTGTCTGTGTGTTTCTTTCCCTCCCGATCAATGCCAGGGAGCTTTGAGAGGCCACGCCGCCTTCCGAGACGGCCTGCCTGCTCGCCCTTGCCCCACCCCCCCGGGGCCGCCGAGTCAACGAGAGGAGAGGGGGGCAGTAAACGGGGGGCGAGCGAGAGTTGCAGGAGAACCGTCCTGACGGGGCCCCCAAGGTCCCCTGCATTGCCACCGCGGCCCCAGAAGGTGCTAGAAGGGCGGGCTGCTCTGCCCCCCCCGTGGATCCCCCTCCACAAGATGGAACCCTGTTCGGGGGGCCCTGAGCGTGAGTCTTTTTTTGTTTTCAGCGGCCAGCTTCTTTTCGGGAGGGACTCGGGTGCAGACTGTGATTGCACCGGCCTTGCAGACGTGCTGCAACGGATTTCTGCATGGATTTCCGCGTGGATTTTTGCCCGAAGCGGCGAGCGAAAAACGAAATGAATTGCGCGTGAATTATTTTGGTCTTCATTCCTAGCCCCCAACAAAAAATCCGTACGAAATTCACCTCGAAATCCGGAACGACATTCTCCAGGACACTCCGGGCCCACCCCATCGCTTTCCAAGCGAAATCCGCTCGGCGATGCTGGCACCACGAGGAGACAGTCCAGGATCCAGAAAAAGCCGCACAAACACACAGACACACAAGCTTTCGGAGCTCCGCGTGAGTTGTTCGGGCCAGCCCTGGGCCCCCCTCCCTGAGGCGTGCAGCGCGCCAGGGGCGGCGCCTGCGGCGCGGCCAGGGGGTCCCAACGCCGATCGCAGTCCGCGCGGACGCCCGAGAGTCTGTCTCTGTGCAGCGCGTGTTTCTCCCTCGGGATCAGGCTGGGGAAACTCGACCTCGTGGCCGAGGTCGGGACATCTCCCCGACGTCGTGCCCGCTTCTCTCTCTCTCTCTCTCTCTCTCTCTCTATTCTCAGCACCCGCTCTGCCCACGCCCGGACCTCCGCACACGTGTGTTGATCCAGGTTTTCTCTCCTCGAGGCTGGGTGCCTAGAGGCCTCCTAGATGCGGTCCGAGTGGATGCGGTCGGAAGATCGCGCCGCATCGGCGATACATCGGCAATTCATTGCCGATGCATCGGCGACGCACCGGCGACGTCGGCGATGCATCGGCGACGTCAGCGTGGAGAAGATCGGGCGCCACATCGAGCCGCGTCGGCGATGCATTGGCGGTGCGGGGCGATCCTTCGCACCCATGTACTCGGACACCCATCTGGGAGGCCTAGACTAAGGCAGGTGCTCTAGAAGAAGATGTAACGACATAAACATAAACAGTTGGCGCTCCGCGCGGATTTCTGAGATCTGCGCTGGACCCCCCTCGCTGGCGAGAGGGGCGCGCCAGGGGCGGCGCCAGAGGCGCCGCCAGGGGGCCCTATCGCAGGCCCAAGAAATCCGCGCGGAGCGCCAGAAGTTTATGTTTATGTGTTTTTGTGTTTCTTCTACTCCAGCCCCGACCTGGTGATCCAGGGGGTCCGGGCTGGGGGTGAGGGCGTTTTTATCTGCCCCCCGAGAACAACGAAAAACCAAGCCCACCCCCAGCCAGTCTTCATGATGTTTCTTGTTCTTCGGTGTTCTCTCTTCAAGGCTGGGTGCCAGGAAACGCCCTGCGAGCGTCGCCGACGAGGCCGCCGCGGGAGACGGCCGGGGGGGAGGCCAGGGCAGCCGCCCCGGGCCGACGCCACGGCGGACGGGCGGGGCGGACAGGGCGGCCTCCCCAGCAGCAGACCCTCTCGACGCGGGTTGAGAAAGCATGGTCGTAATGTCATCACCCTGAGACGCGTAAAGACAGGGTGAGCGAAGAGCTTGATTCTTAGATTGCGATTCAGGCGAATTTACCTGCATGGCACTTGCCCATCCGTCACCATTTCGAACAGCGCTGGGGCGACGTGGCGTGCAAGGGTGCCCCGATTTGCATGAAGTGCGGGTGTCCTGTCGGGCCTCGTCACGCCCCCCCTGTCCCTTTTCATGCAAGTGAACTTGCTGGAGTTGGAGGAAATGATCCCCCGAACCTGCTCGAGTGGCTGGTTTTCCTGGCGGGCGCACATGTATCGAGAGAAGCGCTCAGCGGCGAGGCGGAAACAAGCTACATGTGCGTTACATTTCGTACCCCCACCCCCACTTTCCAATCCCCCCTCCTTTCCTCCAGCCCGTCCCTCGAAACGAGCCCTCTGGGGAGCAAACGTGTTATCTGAAACTCCGGCCGACACAACGGGCTGGGCAGGCTTGGCGACACGTGAGCGGGATGGAACACGCTTTCGCGGAGCCTTCACGCTGACTGGGTGTGAAGCCGGTCCTCCACGTCCTCCCCCATCCGCTCCTCCTCCTCCTCCTCCTCCTCATTCTGCGCCTCGTCCTCTTCGCATCCCGCCCTCATCTTCTCGTTATCCTCCTGCACAGCCCTCTTCCTGCCCCTCCCACCGAGGCGGAGGAGGATGATGAGGAGGAGGAGGATGATGATGAGGAGGAGGAGGAGAAGAACGATGAGGAGGGAGGAGGAGGAGGAGGGGGAGGAGGAGGAAGAGGAGGAGGAGGAGGAGGAGGAGGAGGAGGAGAAGAACGATGAGAGGAGGAGGAGGAGGAAGAGGAGGAGGAGAAGGAGGAGGAGGAGGGAGGAGGAGGAGGAGGAGGAGCAGGAGGGATGACGAGGAGGCCCTGGCCAGGCGGAGCTGCGGCGCATTGGTGGCGGCTGCGGGGGGTGGGGGGGAGCAGCACGGAGCCACACGACGCCAACGCCCGCGCGGGGGGGCCTCGTCGGCGGCGCCGCCCGCGGAGGCCTTCGCCTTGGCCTTGCCCTTGGCCTTGGCCTTCGCCTTGCCCTTCACCTCGCGAAGGGGGGGGGCTCCCCAGCCCCTTGCCCAGGACAACCTCCCACTCGTGTGAAGCCGATCGGATCGGCGGAAATCGGCTGCCAAATCGACTCGGCATGAGTCGGTGGGCTGGTAAGGCCTCCACTGAGAAACCAAAAGCCGCATCGGAATCCGTACAAATCGAATCATAATCGATCGAAATCGAAGCGAGTCGAGTCGGCGGGTTCGAAATGAGCCCTGGTGCTTTCCTGCACCATGCATGCAACGTCAATCGTCGTTTTGTATCCTTTCGTCGCCTTCTGCATTTCTTTGCTTTTGGCCTCCGGGGGGCCTTCCCGGGCCCCGGGACCATCAGCAACGGGCCCGGGATGGACAGCTGGCCCATGGGGAGTCCCCTGGACAGCTCTTCGACACGACCTGCAGAAACCGTATGGGCTTTTCCAGGGGGTGCGGGATCTGATTCCCCACCCGGCAGGCTGGGGCTGTCAGACTTAGGTCGGGCCTGTCCCTCTACAGGAGGAAAATTCAAAAATCGTCCAAAAATGGTCTGGGGACGCTTTTTTATACAATTGTTGAGCCATTTGGGGACATTGTTTTACTATGTTTTATTTTTCGTTGAAAATTGGCATCATGTCAGACCTGAGGAACAAGAGCCCCCGACCCGCCTCGCGCACCCCGCACGCCGCGGCCGCTGGTCCCCTCGTGTGCCGGTGCTCCTCGGGTATCCCGCCTCGTGCCCTCGACGAAGGACGACTGCATGCCGCAACCGCCAGGTCCAAAGTGTGACACCTCTTCCTGGGCATCCCGTCTCGCGTTCTCGGGTGGGGGCCGCTCGAAACATGGTGCTGAACTCCGGGCAAGCGATGGCATGGACTAGGGATCCGCGGATCTGGTGCTTGGGCGCCAGAGCCGCGCATCGGGAACATGCCCCCCGACGCATGCGGCCAACGCCGCCCGAGTTGGCGACGGAGAGCGCCGATTTCGTACGCAGTGGAAGCCGTCGCTGATCCTCGCGGACTCATCCATGCTTACGCTTATGTTGTTCCCATCGCACTTAAAGACCACATCCCAGACATAAACTCGAGCACCCAGAAAAGTGCCGAAACAGTGTCGAACGAGGATCGCCCCCAAGGCCAGACACGTGGAAGCCCCCCAGTTTCGGTACTTCTCTGGTGCTCGAAAAATTCTTCCTGGCGGTCGAGGCCAACCGTGGGCTGGAGAACACCCTGAGCCCACGCAGTCTCGATCGATGCGCGGCCCCAGAGAGGCCCCGAGAGCCTTCCCCCGGGGGACAGCTCTTCACCCCGGAGCCAAAGCTGACGGCCCTCGTGGGGCCCGACGACGGGCCCCCCACCAGGGCCAGAATTGGGTCGGGCCTGTCCCCCTACAGAGGGCTTGTGGGCGAAACATTAACAATACGCCAAACATACTCCCAAATGGTCACAACAAATTCAAAAAGAATCGTCCCCGTACTATATTTGACTATTTTTGAAAGTTTCCCCTGTAGAAGGACAAGCCCGACTTGAGGCCAGAGCCGGAGGAGCCCGGCCCGATGGGGGGAAGGCAGAGCGTCGCAGCTCTGGTGCCCTCCACCCTCGATCCATGCATCCATCACCCGTGCATCCTGCGTCTTTGATGGGCCAGTTGTCCACCACCGCTACCGTGGATAGGACGGGGGAGAACGGGGGATGGGAAGATCCTCCTCCTTCTCCGCCTCCTACTCGTCCTCCCCCTCCCTCTCCTATGGTAGTAATGGTGGCGAATCGACGCATCAGTCTTCCTTTTCAGCGTGGGGGGTACTATAGGGATGTAGGTTGCATGCGGTTCTGAGGAGGTTGCATCTGGCCTGACGTGGCTTACCAGTGGTTGCAAGTGCCGTCGATGGATTGAGGCGGTGCTGATGGCTCCGCTAAGTGGGCGGAGCCTTCTTAGCCCTGACCATGATCCCTCCCATTCAGGACAGGTGTAGCCCACTTCTACGCTAGCGTGGTCCAAATATAACCTACCTTGGCATCAACTCGCTGATCAACCCCGAATCTCCTTAACGACCCGCCCGAGGAACCAACTGACACGGTCACCCGCGACCCATCCCGCGACCCACCCGCGACACACCCATCGCGGTGACAAAAAATCGGCCCCTGCGGCGAGCTCGTTGTCTGATTTGAAAGAAAAATAGGCGCCTGCGGCGGGCTGCCGACGTCCCCTGCGGCCCCTCACTCTTACCCGCAACTGCCGGGTGCAACGTGTTCTCCTCTCGGGTCGGGCGAAAGGGGGGGATAGCAAAAGGGGGGTTTGAGAATCAGCTCACGTAGCTGATTTTCCCGGCGCCTCCCGGCGCCGGGAGGCGCCCATGCGAGGAATGTATCGAGGAATGGGCCCCTCGGTGAGGCCGAAACCAGCTGCATGCAGCAAATTTCGTAACCCCCCCTTTCCCAATCCCCCCCTTTCGCCCGGCCCGATCCTCCTCTCCTCCTCCGCCTCCTCCCACCCTCTCCTCCTCCAGATCCTCCACGATCCTTCCCTTGGGCGACGGGAGAGGAAGAGGGGGGGAAGAGGAGAGCGGGGCAAGGGAGAGGAGCGAGGGAGTGGGGCGAGCCAGGTGCGGCCTCAGCGGGCACGCCGAGCAGCCCACGCTGGCCCCAACAGTCCAGGGGCCCCAGGGCACACAACTAAATACACACAAATAGAAAGATTCTCCATCTGTTCCCATATTTTCTGGGTTTGTCTTCCCCCCCACTTCCCATAGTTTACCATATTTTCTGGGAATCGACGAGTAATTGTGTCTGTGTGTTTTTTCCCCTCCTGAAACAGGCCCCCCGAGTAGTCTGGGGCTGCCTCAGCACCCATCCCCCGTGGGGGGGCCGCCGGGGCACTGACGCCGCCCCAACTGGGCTACTCGGGGGGCCTGCTGAGGCCACACGGGGCTACGGCACGTTCGTGTCGTGACGACCCTTCCTGCGTGGGTTTCTGACGCCGCGTGGATCGTTCAACGTCGAGTGACCAGCGGCTTTTCCACCGCCCGATCGTTCCATGCAGGCCGACTCTGGGCCACTGGCGGCGCTCAACCTTGACCGCCTCAGCGCCCATCAAACGGGGACTCCACTAACGGGTACTTTGGCCAGTGACCCAGCGAACCCAACCCTTCCCGATGCGGGCAACGCTGCAATGCCAGGAAGAGGCCCTAAAATGGCAACTTTCGGCAACATTTCAAAGTACCCGTTAGTAAGTACCCGTTACGGTGCCGTTGACCGCCCGCGGGGCGGTCGCCGCCGGTCGACACGACGCGAACCTGCCGTACCCCGGGGGGCCCGCGGAGGCCCGCCGAGACTGCCTGGTGTGGAGGCCGTCTGCGCGCCGTCCGGAGCCCTGCACCGAGCAGCTGCAGGAGGAGAGGCCGGGGCTCGACCTGAAGCGTGGTAGTTCCGTTGTGTCGTTCTTGAAGGGGCCCTGGGACACACAAAAAGATACACACAAATAAAGCAGAACCCCATATTTTCCCATATTTTCAGGGTTTTTGTCTCCCCCCCCCCCACTTCCCATATTTTCCTATATTTTCCGGGGGATCGACGATTAATTGTGTCTGTGTGTTTTTTCCCTCCTGAGTTCTGGAGCGCGGGATCGCAGAAACGGCACGAATGGAAACGACACGAAAGCGAAACCTTCCTTCCCGCAGCTGTGGCGAAACGGAGCGGACTGACGAGCACGGCCCACGAGATCCCCAGAGCACCCTTCAGGCCGAGCCCTGGCAACGGAGGGGGCGCCGCGCCTTGATCAGGCCCGACGCGGCGGCGTCGTCCCCGCTGTCCTCGTCGCCGTCCGCGGGGGGCGGCCCAGCGTCCTCGTCCGCGTCCGGGCCGTCGGGGTCGTCGGGGTCGGCGGCCGCCCTCCAGGAGGGGGACACGCTTGGGACGATGCTTGGGGGCGGAGGGTCGCGCATGGCGCTCCCCGACCCTCGCTCTCGGGGGGGGGGGACAGAGGAGGAAGCGGGGGGGATGGATGGAGGAGGGAGGAGAGGAGGGAGAAGAGGAGGGAGAGGAGCGTTGTGGGACACTTGCGCAGCACCGCGCGCGGCGGGAAACAGAGAGAGAGGGAGGGGGCAGCAGGCAGCCGACGGGTGCAAACCACGGCTGCCCGACGCCTGTGCTGTAGCCACCTCTTGCTCGCGCTCCTAACCAGCAGGGTCTTGGGAGGCCCTGCGTAGCTGGGGAACTTCTCTTGCGAGATGCAGGCCAAACTGTCGATCCCCTTCTTGGACAAAGAAAAAACATAAGCAAACTTGCGCCCATCGGTGGCTATACGCCCGAAAGCATGCCAGAAACACATAGCGAACCGATCCTAGAAACCGAGGCGGTGATATTCATTCAGGGCGAGGCCACACACCTCCACAGGACCAATGACCAACACAACGACATGACTCGGCCACTGCTAGGTCCACTCAGGCAAACAGCCAGACGCACAAAATTCGAGAAGCGTGCCACAACTGGAAAAAACCGTCGGACATAGAACATCGAAACCGCTTACCGCACTCAGATGCTCAGGGAAGTGGAGGAAAGGTGGAGGAGGAGGGAGAGAAATGGAGGAGAACATGGAGGAGGAAGGGGAGGAACTGGAGGAGGAGGATTCTAGGTTTGCCTCGCGCGCACCCCGCAAAGGCGCGCGGTCCAGACATAGAGAAAAACGGCGGAGGAGAGAAAGGATAGTAATGAGGAGAAGGATGAGAGGGAGGGGGAGGAGGGACAGGAGGAAGGATGGGGGGATGCTCGCCCAGGGTAAAAATAGGCCCGTGTTGTTCTCGATGTGTTCGCGTGTGCGTGTGTGTGAGAGAGAGAGAGAGAGAGAGAAAGAGAGAGAGAGAGAGAGAGTGCGCGTGCGTGTGCGTATGCGTTTACGCGTGCGTGCGTGTGCGTGTGCACGCGCGTGCGCCTGCGTCCGTGCGCCTGTGCGAGTTTGAGAGTGTGTGTGTGTGGGTGTGCGTGCGTGTGTGCGTGCGGGTGTAACTGCGTTGTGTGTGAGCGTGTGTTCGTGTGTGTTCGCGTGTGTACGTGTGTGTACGTGTGTGTATGTGTGTGAATGTGTGTGTGAATGCGTGTGAATGTGTGTGTGTGTGAATGTGTGTGTGTGTGTGTGAGAATGTTGTGTGTGAATGTGTGTGAATGTGTGTGTGAATGTGTGTATGTGTGTATGTGTGTATGTGTGTATGTGTGTATGTGTGTGTGTGTGTGTGCGTGTGCGTGTGTGCGTGTGTGTGCGTGTGTGCGTGTGGTGTGTGGCGTGTGTGCGTGTGCGTGTGTGTGTGTGTGCGTGTGTGTGCGTGTGCGTGTGTGTGCGTGTGTGTGTGCGTGTGTGTGTGTGCGTGCGTGCGTGTGCGTGTGCGTGCGCGTGCGTGCGTGTGTATGTGTGTGTGTACGTGTGTCTGCGTGTGTGCGTGTGCGTGCGTGCGTGCGTGCGTGCGCGTGCGTGCGTGCGTGCGTGCGCGTGCGTGCGTGCGTGCGCGCGCGTGCGTGCGTGCGTTTGCGTGTGTGCGTGCGTGCGTGCGTGTGCGTGCGTGTGCGTGTGTGCGTGTGTGCGCGCGTGTGTGTGTGTGTGTGTGCGTGGCGTGTGTGTGCGTGCGTGCGTGCGTGTGTGTGGTGCGTGTGTCTGTGCGCGCGCGTGTGTGTGTGTGTGCGTGCGCGTGCGCGTGCGAGTGCGCGTGTGCGTGTGCGTGTGTGCGCGCGCGTGCGCACGTGCGTACGTGTGCGCGTGTATGTGTGCGTGCGCGTGCGTGCGGACGCGTGTGTGTGTGTGCGTGTGTCTGTGATTGTGCGTGTGCGCGTGCATTTGTGTGTGCGCGAGTGCGTGCGAGCGTGTGTGTGTGTGTGCGTGTGCGTGCTTGTAAGGATGCGCGTGTGTGTTTGCGTGTGCGTGCGTGCGTTTGTGTGCGTGCGCGTGTGTGCGTTTGTATGTGTGCGCGCGCGCGTGCGCGTGCGTGTGCATGTGTGAAACGGCGAATGCGTGTGTGTGCGTATGTGTGTGCGTGCGTGCGCGCGCGGGTGGGTGCGCGTGCGCGCGCGTGCGTGTGCGTGTGTGTTTGCGTGCGCGTGTGCGCGCGTGTGTGTGTGTGTGTGTGTCCGCGCGTGCGCGCGGGTGTGTGGGGGTGTACGTGTGTGTGTGCGTGTTCGTGTGTGCGTGCGCGTGCGTGCGCGTGCGTGTTCGTGTGTGTGTGTGTGCGTGCGTGCGTGCGTGCCTGTGCGTGCGTGTGCGTGTGTGCGTGTGCGCGTGTGTGTGTGTGTACGTACGTACGTGTGTGCGTATTCGTGCGACTGTGTGTGTGTGTGTGCGTGCGTGTGTGGGCGCGTGTTTGTGTGTGTGCGTGTGTGCGTGCGCGCGTGTGCGTGTTCCTGCGTGTGTTTGTGCGTGCGTTCGTGCGTGTGCGTGCGTGTGTGCGCGAGCGTGCCCGTGTGTGTGTGAGCGCGTGCGCGCGTGCTTGTGTGTGTGTGTGTTCGTGTGTGTGTGTGTGTGTCTGTGCGCGCGCGCGTGCGCGCGCGTGCGTGCGCTGCCCTCTCCCGAAGGCGCCTGGTCAAGCTGCGCGCGCAGCGGCTCCAAGGCCGCCACGCCACCGAGCCCCGCGCCCGATGGGCCGCCCTCCAGCGCCACAACGACGTTGCAGGCGAAGGCGGCGTCGGCGAAGGCAGGGGGCGGGCGCAGCTCCCCGCCGCGCTGCGCCGCCAGCTCCCCCGGGGGCTCTCGCACCGCGCCGACTTGGCCGAAGCCTCGCGCCGACTTGGCGGTGGCCCAGCGGGCCCCGACGCTGCCAGCACGTGCCGCACCTCCGCTGAGTGCCAATGCGCCACTCCGACCAAGCGCTCGACCACGCTCACCGCGGGTGCCTGGACGTCGTCGAGCGCCACCACCGAGCCGCCTGCTTCGCTGGCAGCAGGTGCCGAGGGCGCCGCCGCCAGCTCCGCCGCCGC